CCAAGCCTGGCTTCCATGGCTTCCAGCCTTGAAGCTCAAGCTCTGCGTGCGCAGTAGTGCCCCCAGGGTCACTTCATTGGCGTTGACGGCGGCCATGTCCATCCAATGAAGTATCCACAAAGGCTCTTGCCACAAATTGCTGCTATCACAAGCCTTCACAGCTTGAGTAAAGGTGATCACATCTGACCGATAGGTATGATCTGGCAACTCTTTCAAGAGCTTGAGGGCAAGTTGGAGTTGACTCTGAGACCCTAATGTACCGATGAGCACCTCAGTTGGTTCGAGATCTGAGGAGTCCAAGTCTAGCAGCTTTACTTGGTAGGGGAGGAGTCTCTGCAAGCTTGTTGCAACACATCCACGGAATTACAGTGGGTCTTCTGAGGACGTCAAGGAAAAAATATTGAAAAACACATGCGTAGTCGCCTTTAGAAATCCTTGAAGTGTTCTTCTTCAGCAAAGCCAGGTAGTCTTTTTACATGGGATGTCGCCTTTAACCATGCCTTTCCCCAACCTTTCGCAAAGACAGTGGGGACATGCTTGACCTATATGGCCGCAAACGCTTAGCAAACTTGGGTGGTAACACACTGGAACTAGATAACACACTGGCCACCATTATGCCGCCTGAAAAACCAAAGGTTTCCGCGTTGTCTCCACTTTTGCCACAGGCCAGGCACGTTTTGCGTCGCCAGGCCAGGCTCCAAATAGGCTTTCTCGATGCCCCGGACAAGCTCGAGCATTTGAGGCCAGGGGGCGTTCTTCGCGCTGCTGAGCTGCGCATTGTGGAAGATCAAATCCACTTGGAGACCCTGGGACTGCAGTTCCGGACGGAGCTGCAAACTCTTCCACCTGCAGTAACAAACATCAAGCTCTCCAACAGGAATCTGGTACTGGGTGGGCCGCGCCAAAGCTCTCAGTAGCCAGTCATCTGATGTCTTTTCTATGGGGTGGTGCACTTCATATTCATGCATTGTCCTCTCCCCAAAAATGCACTTCAGGCATATATTTCAAGGTGCCCCCCAAAATATATCTCCGCACCATATTTGCCATCAAAGGATGTCAAAGGATGTCAAAGGCACATGTTGGTGCGAATCCTACGGATGCTTGGAAGGCTGCACTTTAATACACGATGATGTCCATCTCTTTCAACGGCATGTTCGTGCGTGTCGTCCAATCTCGACATGAGAGCCCTTCAACAGTTGGGTGCTTCACTGAACGCAGGCAGCACAACCCGCAAAGCCCTCAAGTGAGATACCAAGGATCCACAGGCCGCGCTTTCCCAGCAGGGAGAGTTGCTGGGTTGCCTGCCTCACAAAAACAGTATGCCAATGCCTTTGGGATCCTTTGGGGTGCGAATCCTGCGCAACATCTTCCACGTTCTGTGATCCAAACACGTTCATTTTTCCCATAATGCAAGACCAAGTGCACAGCTTGCACAGTTTGAATGACACACCACCCGTCTTGAGGCTTGCTACACCCACAACTTGATTGACAGCTCAACAACTTTGGGCTGAAGTGAATCACTGCATCGATCACCATCAAGGCCTCAAGCTGGATTCTTCCTGCTTGGCGCGGGCAGTCATTCCAAGCACCCCATCTGGCCATGGCTATTGCTTGCCCTCGGCGGAGTGACGCGATGACCTGGAATGGACTCCGTGCTTTTCTAGTTTGGCCGGGCCTGGGCACAGTGCATTCAAATCCTGGGTGCCCAACAATTCACCAGTGCTTTGCAAGGACGTACGAGTGAGGGGGGTGAAGAGATAGAGCACCGATAGTTGCACTGTTCAGCACTGTTCAGCTCATATTTGACCGCTCACATGGGATCCATTTCACCTGTCTGACTGGCATCCTGAGCCCAAATGGTTTGAGGTCATATCCACCATCACAATGCAAACAGCAGCGAAACATGCAGCCACTTAAACCCAAGCATGAATGCCATGCAAAACCTCCATCTCCTGCTCCAAAGCAATGCATGCTACATTATATACACAATGTACACCGCCAGTCTTCACAAAAATGATTGCGATGCCTCACCCAGAGAAAGAAGTGAAGTTGACTAAGAGTCCAAAATGGTATAAGTTGGTGTGCATGGACGATGCGCCCAGCAAGTGTTGACGAGAAAGTATCACTGCAAACCCCTCCGTTGACAGTGCCAGAGGTACGGTGTGCTTGGAATGATTGGCCAAGCTGCGGCCTTGGCAATGATGCTCTGTGACGCATTAACTCTTAACCGTCGGGTTCCATCACCGGCGCCAATGACTTGCATGTGCTAGCTTGTTCACACACTCTCTCTCTCTAAAAATGTATATGCATATTTTACAAATGCATATATATATATATGATGTGTGTGTGCGTGTGTGTCTGTGTGGCCTTCAATGCTCCTGGTTCAATCTCATGCCATCACGTAGATTTGGCGGGGCCATCGCTTTCTTGTAGTTAATATATGATATAGGCAGGTTTCAATCAAACAAGTGTATGTGTGAGCACGAGCACTCAAAGGAGACAAACGAACAACCTTCACTCGAGTCAAAGGCAACAGCAAAGCTCACCTGACATTGGAAGATTTTTGCAAGCAACTAAGGGCATTCAACAAGCAATTTGTTGTTTACAACCCACCCTATGTTCAAGTGGGCAAGTGGTGAACTGGCATCGCTGGGGGTACCGTTATGTTCTTTAATGTCAGCTATACTTGACCAAACTGCAACTCATTGTTTGCAACAAAAGAAACCCAGGAAAAAGCAGAACAAACGTGAACAAACACTACAAAAACGCTAAAAACAACACAACCATTTATTGTTTGCTTTTCGGTTTCCTTTGTTGCTTTGTTGCTTCAAATAAACATGTTGCCTCCTTGATTGTATGGCTGCCATGGGGAACATAATGAACATAAGCGCATCGCTTAGGCATCGCTAGGGGTGTGCTTCAAATCCCCGAGTGTGTGTCCTACTGGAGGTGACTGCTGCAAAGTCTTGACCTTTTGCCTCCAACCTAAGCGCGCTGACATCCAACCTACATGTAAAACGACTGAGGCCCTGAGAATATGTGGAATGTGCTTTCAGATCAAGAAGCTAAATAATATGAAACAAACACATGCCAAACAAATAATTACACTTGGACAATGTTCATCCTTCATGTTCAGGTTCGCTTTTGCATTCCCATCGCGTCCTTGGGTTTTTGCACATTCTCAAGGCTGAAAGTGCCCTTTTTTCAGTTCAAATCTTTGCAGTTGGCTGGGGTTTGTCATTCCACCATGGCAACTCTGACCAAGGCCGCAGGTCCAACTCGTGCGTCCAGGCTGAACGGTGCTGATGTGCAACATGCCAATAGGTTTCAGCAACATGCACAGGATCCAGCAACCCATCCCGGGCACCCACAGTGCTGCGCAACTCCGAGAAACGCTCAGCACCTATCATCTTCCCCAGGGTGTCAGGAGCATCAACAGCACCATCAACAATGATATGTGCAACGTGTATGCCCTTTGGTCCAAACTCTGCATTCAGAGTCTGACACAACATTCGCCGACCGCCCATGGCAGCTGCATGCGCATGCTGTCCTTCATTCCCCCGCATAGCTGCCGTTGCGGAGGTAACCAGAAAGCATCCCTTTCCCTTCCGCACCATGCTCGGGATCGCCGCCTGCGCCGCACGAAACAAGCCGAAGCAAGCCATGCGCCACCCAAGCTCAAACTGTTTGAGTGAAGTTGCCATCAGGGATCGGGTACCAATTTGTGCTCCAAGGTTGAACACAAGCACGGCAATTGCTCCTGCTTTTGTCTCGGTGTCTTTAATCAGTGTCTCAATAGCACTAGGCTCCACAGCATTGATGAGATGCCCCTCGGCTGTTCCACCATCAGCCTCGATGTCACACACCAGCTGATCCAGCCCCTGCTTGTCCGACCGTCTGGCCAGCACCACATGATATCCCCCTTGTGCAAAGCGTTTCGCCACAGTGCCACCAATCCCAGCACCCGCACCGATCACCAAACAAACGGGCTTCATGACGGCACTGATGCTGGGCAAATCAGCGTTCAAACTAGACTCAGACCCTATGTGATGTTGGATTGTTCTGCTATACAGTACCTTGTCAACTTTCAAGATTCAAGCTGCAAGTTAAATCCTTTGGCCCTTTGGGTCTGGCTTGATTCCAAATTGACGAACGACTTGACACATCGCCTAAGGATTGCCAAAACCAAAGTCTGTTGTGTTGGCTTGTAACTTCGGGCCGGTGCAGCTCTGCAAAACTACAAGAATAATCAACAAACTGAGTGCTCACATCACCTGAGATCTAAGCTTCACCGGCCAAAACCCAAACCGGCATCTGCATGACACGAGTGAGTTGCAAGCCTCAAGGAGCTGGATTCAACGCTGTCAGCCACATGCTGAGGTTAAGATCCATATATATATATATACTAAATATATAATAAGTTCCCTATAGTTCCCTCAACAGGTTTGGCCCATTGCATGCTCTTTGCTCATAGCATGGTTCTGCACAAGTCCGGACCCAATCTGGGGCAGGCCTGGCCGCCGAATGCTCTCCTATGCCATGGCAGTTCGTCATTGCAGCTGGCCGAACAAGCATCTCAGGGTCAGTTAGTTCAGGAATGTAAGTTATATAAACAGTGATAGTGATCGTTTTGCACACAGGCAACTCTCTGCATTTCACTGTTGGATTTTGTCTTATTGCATCCGCGTATCCGTGTTTCTGAAATTAAAGCTGGCAAGAACCGCTTTGGGTGATCATGCGTGTGTGTGTGTGTGTGCGTATCACAAGAGGCCTGAATAAATTATATACTAGGCTCTCTTTGGGTAAGATGATGCGACATACATCCATCGTCTTTAATTTTGCACTGAAAATCAAAAAGCACCAATGTTTTGCTCTGATAGGTTCTGAGCCAAAACTCTGATAAAGGACGTTGATAGAGAGAGAGAAAGAGCGAGAGCGAGGGTCGAGGACGTTGTCTGCGGTGCTGCTGTGTGCACGGTGCCGAGGGCCAAGGCTCACACTCTGCAACACTCTGCATGTCCGTGTTGTGCCGCTACATGCAGGGCCTGCAGGGGATGAGTTGCACTCGCGAGTTCCGGGTCAAGCGTTATACATGTCTGCGCAGCTATCCATGCCATCTGCCAAAGCACTCCAAGAAAAATGTGGAGAAGAAAGGTAACAATGAACACTCTCGTGCTCAAGTCCACCGTGCGAGCGCCACCATGAGTGCATGAGTTCTCCCCAGCTGCTGGTGCTCACGGGGCCCCGGCTGTTCGCCCACAAGCATCCAAGGTGGCAATGTCCAGAAAGCGGGGGTGCTCAAGCCTTAGTGTACAAATGTTAGATCTGCTGGCGACACGGACTGTCTCCAACTTTCCCTCAGTTCGCTAGGGTGGCCACAAAGCGTGACATACACCAGCCTCCACAGGCTGTTTCAAACACTCTATTTGTAATTTTTGGTCAGGAAAGGCTTCCTCTCTGTCCGAGCATGGCGCCTTTCCTGTTATATGGTGAATCTCATTGTTGTGACAAAAGGATCTTGAAAGGACTTTGCCATGTCCACGGATGCTAGGAGCAAGAATGCTACTAGGAACAAAGGGCATCGCTACTGGGAGCAAGGACGCTACTAGGGGATCCTGGCCTTACTACTAGGAACGAGAAGCTACTATAAACAAGAATGCTTGCAAAAATTTGGCGGAACAATCCAGCCTGTCCACAGCTAGCGGCCCAGTGCCTTGGAAGGTGCACTATCGGATGGGACCATTTCTGTGAGCAGGGCTAGACAGCTTCAACTTCATCAACCATGTAGTTAAATAAGTCTACCAGGTCTTCCATGACTACAGGCTGCAGCGAAACCATCAGCTTGCCCAGAGATCCGCAAGCTAAGTGCCATGCAACGAGGTAAAGTTTGACGCCTTAGTCTGATTTTCCGTCAGTGTCGCCACTTCAACAGCATCTCTCCCACAACATCCCATCGAAGCCAGTTGCTGAGGTTTGATGGGGAAGTGCAAACATCATTATGGAACAAGTCCCGAACACAGTCTCATACAAGAATGCTCAGGAGTGGCTTGAGGTAGATAGGTAAGCTTCTTGAATTGGTCACTTCTCTTACAGTAAAATAACCCAAACTTGTCGTTGCCTGCCAGGGCACACTGGTGGACTCATGATGCTCAAAGTCTGCATCCCAAAGTAGAGCTGTACACCTCTCACGACCGAAGACTCGCCAAACCCTCGGAGATGTGGCCGTTCAAAATGATGACAATTGCAAAGGGGAGCATCTCAGAATAATACAGTATAAAACATGTGAGGAACACAGCAGCCGCATGCCAGCAATCGCTGCATGATCCAGGAATGAAAGACCTTCCGAATCCTGGCGAGTGGAAACCATCACATCACAGGTGTCATGTCATCTTAGCACAGCTGGAATTAAGGAAAAAAACAATGCATTTGACTTTGTGAGACCGACTTCATGTGGCTTTAGAAACAGGGTCTCACTTGTGCAATTTGATTCAACTATATGACTATATATGTATGTGCAAAAGACCAGGTCTCACTACACGCTGCAGGTTCCCTCCGCCTTGATGTTGATGTCGTCAGGCTCTGCACGCTTTAAAAGGCGTAGCGCCTCTACCTCCAGATTCAATCGGCCACACGTTCGCGTCGTCAAAAAAAGAACGATTGGATCTGCATCCCTAGACACAATGAATCCTGGAACCTGAGTCATCCTGAGCACCAACCATCAGAATATTGCCTTCTCATTGTATCACAACATGGGTCGGGAAGGTATTCTAGGTGTGTACAATATCCATACATGCGCTGCGCAATGATCACCAAGGCAGCTCACATTGAACGACGATTTGGTAAAACTGTGTGTTAAACATGTTTGTGTTTGCATCAGGAGTCCAGCAGCCGCATCGTTGCTCCTTTTTACGGGAATCACGCAAACAATTTGTCACAGCTGCGGCTTTATGGCATGCTCCTAGCAACAAAAGTGTTATCTCGAGGGCGGCCGAGAAGGAATCTAACTCAGTCGGCCATCTCAAAGCCAGCAACTGTAGAAACTACAATGGAACACAGAACTGCAAGACCAGTCATATCATGTCATATCCTCCAAAACTTATTCTGGGATCGTCAAAACTAACCTGTCAAACTCACCTTCGAGCTCTGGTGAAAGAAAGGGAGCTTACTCCCATGTATCAACACCAGTTTGTCAAAACAGAGGGTCCGTATGGCGTCCTGATGACTTCGTGTGCCATAACCGCTCGTTGTGGGTGTCTTGGTGCTGGTAAGATCTGCCAGGACGGACTTCCTTGAGGACAGGATGCGTCGAGATGTTGGATGAGAAGCACATGTGAAAACTTGTAAAAGTAGAGTAAACATGCTGAAACTCGCTGCAGAAGTGGGGCAAAAGAAAGAAACCATGCACATCAATACAGAACACTATCAAACATAGAATGTATTTACACCAAGAACTAAGAATAGAGTAAAAACTTAAATAGTATACATATATTTATATATGCACCATGCAGCAAAAGGACCCAAACAATGCTTTGAGGTCTACAGGCCAGGTCTGGCAGGTGTAAAGCAGGTGGTCTAGAGATTTGGGCTAAAAAGGATCTGAGGTCTAAATGTCCAGAAGTCTAGGGGTCTTGAGATCCAGACAGGTCTAAAGTTCTGGAGGTCCAATGGTGTGGTGTACAGGCGCCGAGATCCAAAGAGGTCTTGGGAGGTCTCTAGGTCAGTAGGGGTCTAGGGGTCTAAACGTTTTCAGATCCAAGAGGTGTAGAGATCTAGAGGGCTAGACCTATAGAAGTCTTAGATCCAAAGTCTTGAGATTGAGATCTAGAATAGTAGTGCGCAGTTCGGGGCCCGACCTTCAGGGCGCGAACCTTGCAAACCTCCGAGGCCCCAGTAGCAGTAGTAGTCGTCGTCGTAGTGGTAGTGGTAGTGGTAGTGGTAGTGGTAGTGGTAGTGGTAGTGGTAGTGGTAGTAGTAGTAGTAGTAGGAGTAGTAGTAGCAGTAGTAGTAATAGTAGTAATAGTAATAGTAGTCGTAGTAGTAGAACTAGTAGTAGTAGTAGTCGTCGTAGTAGTAGTAGTAGTCGTCGCCGTAGTAGTAGTAGTAGTATTAGTAATAGTAGTCGTAGTAGTAGAACTAGAACTAGTAGTAGTAGCAGTAGTGGTAGTAGTAGTAGTAGTAGTAGAACTAGTAGTACTAGTAGTAGTAGTAGTAGTAGTAGTAGTAGTGGTAGTGGTAGTGGTAGTGGTAATAGTAGCAAAAGAAGTAGTATGTAGTAAGTAGTAAGTAACTAGGTGGTAGTAGAAGTAGTAGCAGTAGAAGTAGAAGAAGTAGTAGTAGTAGAAGTACGTAGGTAGGTAGGTAGGTAAGTAGGAAAGTAAGTAAGTAGTATGTAGTAAGTAGTAAGTAGTAAGTAAGTAGGTGGTAGTAGTAGCACTAGCAGCGCGCAGTTCGGGGCCCGAACCTTGCTAACTTCCGGGGCCCTAGTAAGAGTAGTAGTGGTACTAGTAAACGTGGTAGTAGTAGTAGTAGTAGTCGTCGTCGTCGTAGTAAAAGTAAAAGTAGAAGTGTTAGTGGTAGTGGCAGTGGAGTGGTAGTGGTAGTGGTAGTGGCAGTGGTAGTGGTAGTGGTACTGGTAGTAGTAGTAGTAGTAGTGGTAGTGGTAGTGGTAGTGGTAGTCGTAGTGGTAGTGGCAGCGGCAGTAGTAGTAGTAGTAGTAGTCGTCGTCGTAGTAGTAGTAGTAGTGGTAGTAGTAGTAGTAGTAGTGGTAGTAGTAGTAGTAGTAGACCTGCGGTGGTAGTAGCCATAGTAGTGCGGTATTCGGGGCCCCACCTTCGCGGCACGAACCTTGCAAACCTCCGGGGCCCTAGTACTAGTAGTAGTAGTAGTGGTAGTAGTAGTAGTAGTCGTCGTCGTCGTAGTAGTAGTAGTAGAAGGAAGTAAATAAGTAAGTAAGTAAATAAGTAAGTACGTAAGTACGTAAGTACGTAAGTACGTAAGTACGTAAGTACGTAAGTAAGTAAGTAAGTAAGTAAGTAAGTAAGTAAGTAAGTAGTAGAAGTAGTAGTATGTAGTAGCAAGTAGTAGTAGTAGTAGTAGCGGAGTCTGGGATGGTCAAGCACACCAAAGAGCTGCAATCTTGAAAGGCGGCTTGCCAAATGTGCATCACCGAGTCTAGTAGAAGTAGAAGTAGTCTCAGTAGAAGTAGTAGTCGTCGTCGTGGTGGTAGTGGTTGTATGTTTGTGGTTGCGTTTGTGATTGTGTTTGTGGTTGTGTTTGTGGTTGCGTCTTTGTCGTTGTGGCTGTGGTTGTGTGCTTGTCATTGTGTGTTTGTGATTGTGGCTGTGGTTGTGTTTGTGGTTGTGTGCTTGTCATTGCGTGTTGTGATTGTGGCTGTGGTTGTGTTTTTGGTTGTGTGTGTGGTTGTGCGTGTTTGTGGTGTTGTGTTTGTGGTTGTCTGTTTGTGGTTGCGTGTTTGTGATTGTGTGTTGTGGTTGTGTGTTTGTGATTGTGGTTGTGGTTGTGTGGTGTGGTTGAGGTCCGGCAGGGAACACTTGGGCCTGGAGCTCGCAGCTGAGGTCCGGCAAGGAACACTTGGGCCCGGAGCTCGCAGTTGAGGTCCGGCAGGGAACACTGGGCGCGGATGGTCGTGGTTGAGGTCCGGCAGGGAACACTTGGGTCTGGAGCTCGCGGTTGAGGTCCGGCAGGGAACACTGGGCGTGGATGGTCGTGGTTGAGGTCCGGCAGGGAACACTGGGCGTGGATGGTCGTGGTAGAGGTCCGGCAGGGAACACTGGGCGTGGATGGTCGTGGTTGAGGGAACACTGGGTGTGGATGGTCGCGGTTGAGGTCCGGCGGAGGAGGCGGAGGAGGAGGCGGAGGACGAGGAGGAGGACGCGGAGGAGGAGGAGGAGGAGGAGGGAGGAGGAGATGGGGCTGACATAAAATCTACAACCCTCATCTGACAGGTGGGGAACAAAAGGGTACACCCTGAGAGTGCGTTTTTCATCATATTCACAGACATATACTACCAATTTCTGCTTGACACATCTGCAATGGCTATATAATTCATTCCCTTGCAACCACTGACAATTTCTGCTTAGCAGCACCTGCAATGACCGCAGTGGTTGTACATGATCAAAAAATGGCTGAAAAGCATACAAAACAACCAGAAAACACGATTCCAGAGCCCAAGGCCACCACTTGTTGTGTTTAGTTTGTGTGACTATGTTTTTTTAATCTTTGTGTTTTTTGGTTTTGGCTGGTCTGCCCAAAGCAATGGACAAACCAAAAACGAAAAAAACGACCCATTCAAACCTATGTCCAGTGTCTAGCCTCTCCTCAGTCCCTCTCCATGGGTTTGAACTTGTTTTCAGATTTTTTGTTTTGGCTGGTCTGCCCAAAACAATGGACAAGAAAACAAACAGTTCAGACCTATGTAACCTGTCCAGCCTCTCCTCTGCCATGGGTCTAATCTATTTTTTGTGGTTCTTTGTGTTTTTTGTTTGCTTTGTTTTCTCCAGGTTTTTGTTTGATCCTGGAATAGTCTTGGTTGATAGTACCTGATGTTCATTCAATTCTAATTGAATTCTAATTCAATTCTAGCCGGGTTCTAGATTAAACAAGTCTAGTTCAATTCTAACTCACTTGGAAGGTTTGAATTGAATAAGAAATTTATCATTTATGTCTAATTGACTTCACATTTATGCCTAATTCAATCATGATTGAAATGTGTTACAATTTTAACTCTCCTTAAAAATCAAAATTGAACTGAAGGCATGAAAAAGTAAACTTCAACTTCAATTCTAATTTAATTCTATTGACCTCTAGTTTAATACTGAATACTCATTTAAGCCTAATTGAATCCCCAAAAAATCTAATTTGCATTTGATGTTCATTGAAGTCTAATTCAATGTTCCCCTGAGCCTGAGCCTATAATTCAAATTTGATTCTTGTTATATTCTAGATTCTACTTTATTTGATGTTAGTTCAATTCTAGCTGAATCTAAATTCAAGTCTAAATTATTTCTACTGCAAATGGCATTGCATTGTAATTGTCATTCAATTCTAATGCTAATTCAATATTGATCGAATTCTAATTGAGCTATGGACTAAACAGTTCCAGTCCAATTCTACTTTAAATCTAATTCAGTTCTATTTTCACTGATGAAATTTCGATTCAAAATTAGTTAAACCTAACTCACGTCTAATCGGGTTATAATTTACTCTTAACTTACTTCACATTTAGTTCTAAGTCAATGTTATTTTTAGTCAAACGTGATGCTTGTTTTTACTTCAATTTACGTGTAATTAATGTCTAGTTTAATGCAAATTTAGACACTATTATACTACAAAATTTATGTAATTGTGTGTCAATCCTAATTGAATTCCTTTTTGACTTCCAGTTTTTTACTTTTATTATATATATAGTCTAGTTCTAATTTAACTCAATTCGGTTCTAAGTCTATGCAAATGTACTTTAAGTCAATGCAAATTGAATTTTGAGTCAGCTCTGCTTTCATTCTAGAGAGCGGGTGTTGCTGAGGATGCTTTTGAGGCAGCAAACTTCAAGAAAACAAAGCATAAGTACAGTAATGTACAGTAGTACAAAAG